TTTTTTAGTTCTCGGCGGACACAACATCTTTGTTGGTATGTGGTGCTGAGGATCAAACCCGGGCCGCACGCATGCCAGGCGAGCGTGCTACCGCTTGAGCCACATCCCCAGCCCCCCACTGACTTCTTAAGCCCATATCTGCTATATAGTAATGCTTAAGATAAGTGAGACTGCTTTAGGCTTGCTGGGGCTGTAGTCAATGTCTTGCATAATCCTCAGCCAAACAACCATTTTTGTTGTCAATCACAGGATCCTTTGTGTCCATAGGAGTCTCATGTGATGTGTTCATTTGGAAGTTGGATTGGTGTACAAGTTTGAGTGAAAGACATGCTGTAGTCAGAGTTGCTTTTAAGTCCAAGGAGTAAGGTTTTGTCCTCTTGTGAGATGATCTCTCTCTGAGGGCTCTGGACAGGCCCGCCTTACTAGTTCAGGAGATTTGGGGGACATGATATTGGGAACAGATCTAAAGGAATAATCCCCTACTCTCCATCCTATTCCCCTGAAATGGAAAAATATTTTTAAGAAGGTGTGTGTGTCTGATGGATAGCTCCCCTCCATTCCATCTTTTGTTGAAATTAGGGAGAAAACAAAAAAATTTCAAAGGCACTAAGAATATGAAAAATATACTTGAAATAGGATGGCTACTCTATAAATGTTAGTGATTATATTGCCATTAGAACAGACTGTGCTTTCCTCCTGATAGCCCTCATATACTTGTGGGTGTTTAACTGATATATTTTAATATTTAATTGATTTCAAATCATTTTTACTAAGGAGCCAGATTATTATTTAAGAGTCAGTATTTTTGTCCAAATTCTGTTGCTGAAGTATTTTTACAAGGCTTTTAATTTCATTTAGAGTTATGAAAAGCAATTTCAGAAAAAAGGCAGAAATTAGAATGCACTCTTAATGTTTTACCAAAATATCTTGCATTGTCTCCTGCATCAGAGTCAGCTATGGAGCATCTTGAAAATGCTGATTTCTGGGTCCCATAGAAGTCCCACTGATTTATACTCTGGAGAAAGGCTTTTAAAATAACATAGCTAACAAACTCCTCCACGTTATTATGATACACAATGAAGTATGAGGATATATATAGTTGGTATATATAGTTGCTTATATTGTAAATATGGACCCTAAAATACAAAAAAATGCAAATAATCACTGAATTTTAGGAAATAGAAATCTTGTACAAACATTTATTTTTTTAAGTAAGGATTTTAAAAAAATATCAACAGATAAATACATAAAATTTAACTGATTTCTGTTAACAAAGAAAGACAAGATAAGAAACCAGGGGAGGAAATGTAATGTAAAATGAATTTTTCTTTACTGAACTCCTGGTTTAGCCTTGAATTACTTTCTCCCATATGAGCAAAATGTATCAGAAACAAATTCCAACTTCTCTTATTGGGATCATTTCACAAAATTGAGCCAACCCTATACCCTTGGTAGTTATTTTAATTTTTCACCATATGATACCATTTATGGAGCTCTTCATGTCTCCAGATCATTCTTCAAGGTCATGGCAGCCTGAAGGAATTCTGGCTGGAATTACGTAATATTGCAGGGGCTTACCGGACAGTTTTATAAGGCAGAAGACATCCAACCCTGGAACTCATGGGGAGAGGGGTGCAAGCAGGCTGTGGAAGGGCTCCCCCAAGCCACACTCCTCTCCTGGCTAGGTCTGCCTTTGATTTCTCTGCTCCAGACTGAGGCAGCAATTAGGCCCTCCAGGATCAATGGCTGGGCTTTAAGGAACAGACTTACCTGGAGGAGGAGGATGCTGCCTTTTCCTCCTTTGCCATTTCTCCTTAGGGGATCTTTTTGTAAGGGAGGAGGCCCCAAAGCTTCCTAGTTAGAAGTATGCTTAGGATAGTCTTTGAGCAGGCAGGTGTCTGCACCAGGTAAGAGCAGGTAAATTGGGATTGAAGCAGAGGGGGCTGACTCCTCCCTCAGTGTCCAGTGAAGTCGCCTTCAAAACAATTGGGCAAAATGAGGTTAGCCAGCAGGCAAGACCTCACCCATCTGCCACCCGCCTTGCCCAAACTCCCAGGAGGGCCTAGGATATGCCCTGGCCTGTTATCTTGGTTCTGTGATGACTTAGCTCTGTGTCTGCTTGGCACAGAGCATCTGATGTCTGAGTCAGCCCAGACCCAGAAGTACAGGAGACCCCAGGTAAAGGGAGCTCACAAAGGCATGTGGTCCTGCAACTTGGGAGAAGAGAGGTGTCGCCTCCTGTCTGAAAACATATGTGCACTGTAAACCCAGCCCTTGACTTGGAGATGAAGGCAGTCAGACTGTGAGCTGGTGTAAAGATACTTCTTAAGGCATCGATGGTGAAGGAAGCAATGTAATAAAGCTTTGCTCCTTAAGTCAGTTATCTGAGGAAACATTAGCATATTTCTGACATGCTAAAATATTGAATGGGCAATGAGGTGAAGACAAAATTCAAATCCTTGGGTTTAGGAGGGCAAATTGATAAAGTATATGACTTTAGAGCCACATAAACCTGGTTTGTTGTTTGGGTTCTTCTCTCTAATGGTATGTGATCTTCTATATAAATCATGCCGGTGATTTTGTGCCTAGCCAGACTGCGGCAAATCAATCATCCTTTTTCTTTGGGTGGACACCTCCTTTCTTGGAGACCAGGCCCTTTTAATTGTCCCAAGATATAAGATTAAACACCAAAATTTCTTCTCTGCCACCATCATTGCTATTGTTATCATTATCATCATGGCCAAGGGTGGCTGTTGAATGAACACTCAAAGGCTTTGTTTGGGCACAGGTTACATACATACTGTGAAATTTTGAAATAACCATTTGCCAAGACTTGAAAATAATCCATTATTTAAAAGGGTAGACCCAGTATAATGGGAAAACACCAACGAGAATTGGATTTTCTGCCAATAAGAAGTGTACCGTGAGATTGGTTCATTTATCTATAAAATTAGTTATATTCATATATGAAATGAGACTGGGTTGTGGAAAGTAAATGCAGTAAACTAAATGAAATGTCAGGCATATAATAGACCACAAAAGAATGTTATATTGTCAATAATCATTATTGTCACTATCATCACCATCATTATCATCATCAAGTGGTGATGTTGAGATAATACTCCTATAGGAACTCAAAAAGTAAGTGCTTCTTGATCCTTTTAAAGCAAAAATCAAAGCTTGTTCCTTTTGTTCAACCTTCTTCCTTTTATAAAAGAAGCAGTTTTTATACTAGTTAAATACAATAAATTACTCATTTGGAATTTTAAAAGTCATAACTGAATTTTGTACCCATTTACATTTTTAAAAATATTTATTTTTTATTTTGTTTTGTTTAAAATATTTATATAGTTGAACAAAATACCTTTATTTTATATATTTATTTTTATGTGGTGCTGAGGCTCAAACCCAGGGCCTCATAGATGCTAGGCAAGTGCTCTACCACTGAGCCATAACCCCAGCCCCCAATTACATTTTTTATGCACTCTGGTGTTGTTTCTGTATTGCAGGGCAAAAATAAAAAACCTCCACACTTTCACTTTATTTAGTTACCTGCCAGAAAATTTGATATCGTGAGTACAATCTTGTTGTTATAAATTATGTGATGTATAGATACATAATTGACACAGAAAGCTCTTCCTTTTTAAATTCAAATATTTAATGACTTCTTGATAGAGTATGTTTTAAAAATACATAAATTCATAAACAAAAATAATGGTTATAACTTACAAATCTGATACTATTTTATGATTACACTCTTTTTTATTCTAATTTGTTGTGTATGACAGCAGAATGCATTACAATTCATATTACACACATTGAGCACAGTTTTTCATATCTCTGGTTGTACACAAAGTAGAGTCACATTATTCGTGTCTTTATACATGTACTTAGGTAATGATGTCCATCTCATTCCACCATCTTCCCTACTCCCCTGCCCCCTCCCTTCCCCTCACTCCCCTCTGCCCTATCTAGTGTTTGTCTATTCTTCCCATGCTCCGCCCCCTGCAACTCCATTATGAATCAGCCTCCTTATATCAGAGAAACCATTAGGCATTTGTTTTTTTTGGGATTGGCTAACTTCACTTAGCATTATCTCCTCCAACTCGATTCATTTACCTGCAAATGCCATGATTTTATTCTCTTTTCTGAGTAATATTCCATTGTGTATAATGCCACGTTTCTTATCCATTCATCTGTTGAAGGGCATCTAGGTTGGCTCCACAATTTAGCTATTGTGAATTGTGCTGCTATAAACATTGATGTGGCTGTGTCCCTGTAGTATGCTGTTTTTAAGTCCTTTGGGTATAGACGGAGGAGTGGGATAGCTGGGTCAAATGGTGGTTCCATTCCCAGTTTTCCAAGGAATCTCCATACTGCTTTCCATATTGGCTGCACCCAGTTTGCAGTCCCACCAGCAGTGCATGAGTGTGCCTTTTTCCCCACATCCTTGCCAACACTAATTGTTGTTTGCATTCTTAATA